TTGAGAAGATTCATATTTACAAAGTGATAAAGAGGGAAGGTGTCAAGTCTTCCCTTTCTGATAGTGGGCAATCAGATTCAAGGCAAATATCATCTAGAACACTGCAACAGAAATGACTCAGAGTATGTGAGGTAGAGTGTGAGCCTAGTAAAAATTGATCTTCTGCATGAGGAAAAATATGACCTTCTCAGAGTCAGCTGTCACAAATGAATTAATAGGGAATGTTGGTGAAATTTATAACAATAATAATAATAATAAAAACCCTGCAGCAATGTCAAAAATGACTTTGGGCAAATCTGCCACCCTCTCTTTTATTTTGATGCATAATGGTTCAAATGATTTGGATGAGAAAAGAAGAGATCAAACTTTTTATAGACAAAACCCAACTGTGTGGAAAATAGGATTAATGCCAGCAATTGGGGGTGATCAAAGGCAAAAACCTACATATTTTTTCAAGTATTCATTCTATTAAAGTAATAATCATAAGGATATTCCACATTCCTGGAGTAAAAAAATGCTGTAACTATGCAAAGGGTATATGTGTATATCATTAGGTGTGTGTGTGTGTGTGTATGTGTATATATATGTGTGTGTGGGTGTGGGTGTACATATATATATATATTCAAACTACAAACCCCAACTTACTTTGCTGATAATAGCCTAAATGTTTCATCTCACATTAAGATGATGCCTGGGTATATTTCTGAGCAGAATCAATATCCCGCCCCCCAGTTAATAAAGAAACAAGGATTTAGCAGATTTAAGGTTAATATTATCTGAGTTGGAATAACCTTAAAAATAAATCTTTCTCTTATTATAGCTCATGAAAGATTATACATTTCAGGCATCAATTAGGCAAAGCCTTTGCCTAATTCCACTGTACATATTCTAATTTTGTGTTCATTTTTAATCATCTATTTTCTCATTTCTCAAACTTGTCTCTCTCATTCTCTGCTGTGCTCCTGTTTCTCATATTTAAAGACTCACAGAAGTTGGGCATTTAAGGAACTGTTACAACCCACAGTTCTTTTCCCTAGTGTATTGTATAGAATTCCTTTCCTGGTTCCCAAACATCTTCGTATTTGCAACCCCTAATGGTTGCAAATCTTCAGAAGGGACCCTCATTTCTCATGCAATGAAGGGCAAAGAACCTTTGGCAAAATAGGTGCCTGTGTGTGATCTAATTAAGTCAGGGCTGATGTAATGCAAACAGTGACTTCCATTCCTATAGAACCAAGTTCAGACTAAACCTCAGCAAAAGAAATTTCTACAAAGCCCAGTGGGTTCCTTTGAATTTTTTTAGGGAGCTGGTAGAAGGGTGAAGGAGAGCCATTTAGTTAAATGATTGGAAAATGGCTAATTTCCTAGATTTCTGGATTTTAGTTCCTTTACATGTAGTCAATGAAAATCACTAAGGTCCCAATGTTTATTTCTCAAAGATAGAAAAATGGGACTCTTCCCCTCCCCCCTCCAAAAATATTATTTGGTTTCCTATTGTTTTGGAGATATTACATCATATTCTTTCTTGGGAGACAGCTTTACTCCCTCTAGCAAAAGTTCCTTTAAGATCCTTACACCTTTTCTGCTATTGCTGTTGGGATGTGGGGGAAGATTTAGGGCCAGGCCATTTAAAGTTAGCTTGACTGGTGACAGTTTGGAGAAACTTTAAAGTCCATTGGACTTTTCCCAAAATGTCCACAAGAGCTTTTCTATCATAGACTGTTTCTAGCAGAGGATTCAAAATTACTTTAGATTACACATCTTCCTGTGTAAGGGACCACAAGGCGCATGTCTCTCTGGAGGTGTCTGTATGTTGTAAGGAGAGGACTGGAGAAAAAGGTGGGCCTTTTCAGGAGCTACCTTTTTCAGGACCTCCTCCAGAGGCTCCCTCAGCCTCCTCCTCTCTGTCTGAAATCACCCAGCACCAGGGTCCAGAATATAGAAACCAAAGTGAACCTTTTAAATAGATGAAAGTTAAAAAAAAAAAACCTGCTTTACCATAAAGGTTGTAAAGTTATTGCAGGTGGGAACTGGCAGGACAATTTTAAATATTGTAATTATAAACTTGTCGGGAAGCCTTGTTCTTCATTAATGTAAGATATGAAATCACCTCTAAGGTACAAGGACAATTAAATAGTTGAGAATATGTCTGTGATTTACACTGCTGCTGTGTAAATGTAAAGATGGTTGCTCTATTCTATCTCCTTCACTTTCACAAAATGAAAAGCACACCAGTGCAAGTTGTCCTTTGATAGATTTTTAATATGATTTTAAAGAGTTTTGTTTGGTCTCATTCTTATTCAATGAGATTAATTTAAAGCACTTATCCCCTGGGTTTAAGTCAATCCATGTAGGATTTGGACAGGGTTTGTTGCATGGGGGGGTTTTGTTTGCAGGAGGCTATGAGAGACTCCTTTCCCACTTCATTAACCCTGAGTTGGGGACAATCCCCCCATCACCCCCACCACATCCAGAGCCGGGGATTTACCAACCCCCATTCACATGCAAAAGAAGCGGAATGCAAAGGGGCTGTCTTGACTTAATTAGCTGCTGTGCATTTTGCAAAATTATAATAATACCCTTACCATCCCAGGGAAGAAAGAGGTGTGTGTGTGTGTGTGTGTGTGTGTGTGTGTGTTGGATAGAGTGGGGGTAGGAAACAGTTGCAGACCAGGAACTGGCTCTGGTTTTAATGAGGGTCTGTATACTACAGTTTCCCCCCCACCCCTCACTCCCCTCCAAAGCAGTTTTTCATCTCCCAGATCTTTCCTGTCAACAAAACTGGAAAGGTCTCTGGTTATTGTTCCACTGAAAGGCGATTCCCAGCCCTGAATGTTTCTCCTTTCTCAGAGCCTGGTGCATCCCCCACCCTTAGCATTTTGAGGGTCAGGCGGTTGCAGGTTGAATGCTGGACAGTGGATGGGGGGGGGGGTTGGTCCACTAAGAGCACCTGCTACCTCCCCTGAGATTGGAATGATTTCCCCCTGAATGTGGGCACAGCCTGGAGTCTGGCTCAGGGTTTAAATCCAGCCCCCTTGGGATCCTGGCGTTGAGGTGAGGCAGAAGCTAGTGGGGAAGGGAGAATTGCCACCCCTCCCTCTTATCCCAAACCTGACTCCAAGGGTAAATGGGAAGTGTGAAGGGAACCAGGTCGGTGAAGCATTACTAAGGTGCCTCAGGTTTAGGGGAACGGAGTTGGAAATTTGTCTCTGTATTCCCCGGGGCATCTGGAAGGTGCAAAACTGTGCCGGGGCTAGAAGAGTTCATCGTCGTGCGTCCCCAGCCAGGGCGCGGCCTCACCCGGGGGCTGACAGTCCAGGACCAGGAAGAGAGTGACCCGGGCGGGGAGGGATTGATAGTGGGCAACGGGTGCCACGTGGGGGGAGAGTGGGCTCTGCCTCGGCGCCCATCTGTCGTTCACCTCGCCCGTCGGGTCCCGGTCACCAGCTGCCGGTGCATGGTCCCGGACAGATGAGCTCACTTGGGGAGGGCGAATAACAGCCCAACCCGCTGCAAAGCGAGCGCCCGGACAGTGACCCCCTTCCCTACCCGTCCCTCCCTCCCCCACGCCTCCTCCTTTTTTACCTCCCCTCCCAGCCACGGCCCCCTAGAATTCTACCTTCTTGGAACTAACGCCTCAAGTACCCAAGTGATGTAGGAAAGGAAAACAGTCTTGGATTGGCGAGGGAAGGGTTGTAAGGGGAAGGAACCAGATGAATGGATCGAAGGGGAATAAAGGGGAAAGAGAGAAAGGGGGCTGGAAATGGAAGAGAAACAGAAGGGAAAGGCAAAAAAAAATAGAGAAATGGGAATCGAATGAAGGGAAAGAGAGGAAATACTTTGTTGATGGGGTGGGGGAATAGAAGATTGAGAGGGGAAAAGGTGAAAGTAAAATGACATCAGTTTTCGGCTGGTTGAAGGGAGAGGCCAAAATGTAAAGAGCATGAAAGCGAAGGGCTGGAGGGGCAGAGTGCTAGGCAAAGAAGCAGCGTGCACATGAGCAGGCTTGTGAATTTGTAAGAAGTTTATTTCGACATTTAAAAAAGAGAGAGCGCGAGCCCAAGGGACCTGGCTGGCCCAGGGGCCCAGGCTGGAGGTTGGGGGCTGCATAAGCAAGTCTCCTTGGCCCCTTCCTGACACGCCCGGGAGCGGGGAGGGCGCAGGCTACAGACTCACAAATTCACGGACACGGTCACGGGCTCATGGGTCACGAATAAATAACTTCATATACACTTTACACGCGGTATGTACAGCTCGGCCCGACCCGGTCAGCCTCTCCTCTGGGCCCAGCCGGTGCTCCCGCTGGGGCAGACAGAGAGGGGAGGGGAGGGGGCGTCACTGAACAAGCAGCAGTCCGCGTTTTCCTCCCTGCCCTCCCCATTCTGCAGGGTTCGGAGAGGAAGGGGCAAATATACAGCAGGAGGCCAGGAGCCAAGGGGATAGGACAGAGCGAGCAGCTCGTGGTTCCTTCATCCACCCACCCACCCACCCAGTCTGGGGGAAAGTCAGGGAGAGGAGGCGCCTTACGGGTCAAATTCCCCGGATATGAAGGAGCAAGTTGAGCGGGGGCAGGATGGAGAGCGGTAGGAGAAAACGTATGCACAGAGCCAGATACAACCCGGCTAGGGCAAACTGACCCCATCCTCGGCTGGTTTGAGTGAAGTGAAGCAGGGCGGCTGATAGAGTTGGGGACGAAGTGGGAATCAGCCACTGGCCATCTCTTGGAGTATTGACCTTTGGCCCTTTGTGGGGAGCTGTTCTGGAGCGATGAGGGGATTGGGAGAGTTTATGCTCTTGGCCGGGAGGATTTTCAACACCCACTCTTCCAAAAGAGGGCTCTGTTTAGGTAAAGGACGTCTCCCCTCTGGGCGCGCAGCGGATTCTGCTCTCCCTTGCCTCCTCACTCTCCGTATCAATGAACTGGGGTGAGGTGGGGGCTGCGCGGCCCGCGCGGAGAGGGAGAACTAGCGCCCGGGGTGGCTAAAGCTGGGGACTGAGGCTCACCGGGGCTGTGCGGCTCGCGGGAGAACGCCCGCGAGTGGGGGCAGGGGAGGGGGTGGCTCGCTGGCTCCCTGGAGTCCGTGGATAAGGATGCGGGGCACCAGAGGTCTCTGAAGTGCGGGCGGAGGAGCGCTGGGGCCCCGGTACAAGTAGAGGGCTGCGCCAGGGTCCAGATTGGAAACCAGGCTCTGCGGGTAGAAATAAGGCGACGGGAACATCCGTTGCAGCGCTGAGTAATTGCCTGCCTCTGCCAGCAGCTCCAAACCCACAGCGGTCTGACGCTTCCATTTGGTTCTGAGGATGGAAACAGATACAGCGTCGGATAAGGGAAGTGGGCGCCTAGACGCCAAATCCTGGATCCGGCTCAATCAGCCCCAGCCATCCCCGTCCAAATTCGGAACTGGCAATGGAGATGGATCGGGATATAGGCCCAATGAGCTCAATTGACTTCTCATTGGGAGAGGAGCTAGTCTGGGGAAGCAGAGAAGGAGTTGAGCAAGGACACACACAAAAAAAAAAACGGGGAAAGAAACAACGAAAAGGGAAGTGAGAGAGGAGCTGAGAGAACAGAGGACAGGAAAGGTCAAGAAAGGAAGGGGAATTCTGAGGCTGGTAATGGAATACCCCAGTCTCAGTTGCCTGAACGGAGAGACCGAGGGAGAACAGGAAGGGGGGGGGGCGTCAAGCAGAAAATAATACGATTGTTGTACCCTCTTGATCTGATGGACTTGCTCCCAAACAGCAGAGCAGGCATATTTACAAGAATGATGGTAATGATGATGGCAATGGTGATGATGCGAATAATCATAGAGAACCCACATGAACAGAAAAGCAAAACTAACTCCCAGGAGCCTCCTACTCCAGCGAAATTCCATCCGAGTCCCACGATTACTTTGGAGGGAGGGGCCATGAAGGATGAGAGACGCGGAGGCTCGATTGCCCGATTTCCAAGCCTCCCCAAACCAGGGTTTTGGAGACCGGATCCTGGCCTGCCTCCCCTGTGACCAGGGTGAGGCAAGCTGGGAAAATGGGACGGGAGCCGGGGGCCCAGTATCTTCACCTTCAAACAGGACCAACAATCCAGGGGAGTATGAACGAGGTTTGGGGCAGATTTGGGGGCTTGCAAAATTGGGTAATACCTCACTAGCCAAAGAGTTAGAGGCTCTGTTGACCAGAGGAACTCAGTCAATGACTGCTTGTACTTCTGCCCCTTGGGTAATCGGAAATAGAAGGAGGTGAGGGACAGAAATCTGCTAGCTCCAAGGCTCCTAACAAGGTCAGGGATTTCTTGAGCCCTGAGTTTCTGGTCAGGCAACTAATGGGAGTTCGGAGGCCGTGAGCTGGGGGTGCCCTCTGTGACACAGCGTTGAACCCTGGGATACTCAGACGGAGCGACTGCATCATCCCGAGATCTCTTCTTGGGCCCTCTGTGGTCTGGGGCTCAAGGAGCACCAACCCAATTTCCTTCCCTGAATTATTCATCATCATCATAATTGTGTAATTACTGTAACCGCCCTTAATTATTGATGCCCAGAGCAGTAATCGGTATTTATTATTAATAGCTCTATGTGTTATTCGTCTTGTTTAGGGAAAGCGCTTTTCGGCTGAGACTAAGGGTGACACTGGGAACATCGTCGACTCTTAGGTCATCTGTAACACCCTCCAAAGAAAGTACCGATTTTTTTTTTTGCACCTTTTCCACAGGAGTTCAAAGTGTTTCTTTGCTAATTAACCCTCACAGTGTGGTTGGTAGGTGCCTAAGGATAGTGCTGAATTCTCCTGTCTAGGGAAACAGACCTAGGCCGGTGATATGTCGTCCTCCACTGCACAGCGGAAAGCTAGGATTCGAGCCCAGGTCTTAGGAATCAAGCCGGAGTTTTAGCTCCTTCTCTTCCTTGTAGAAGGTGGATTTCGAACAGACACGCCTTTACTTTTACTCTCTGTGCTGCACTTAGTCTTGATTACTGCTCTGACCTCTGCTTTTCTCTCCTCTCTAATCCGGGTTTACTTCAGTCCTGCTCTGTGTCCCGAGTACACGAAGCAGGATGGGCAGCTCGCTAATTTTCACTCCAGGATGGAGAGCAAGGGTCACAGAGGTCAACCTACAGACCCTCTCAACACTGGCAAATTCCAATTCCCCAGTGACGTAGGGAGAGGTGCAGGTGCCTTGTCACAGGCAGAGCTGGCTGCTGAGCGCAAGGCCTTCTAAAGAGCCTGGGGACCAGATTGAGGGGAAGGAGAAGAGTAGGGAGAGTAGGGGATGGGGCTGGCAGAAGAGCACACGGGTAGGTCTAGTCGACTACTTTGTACTTTGTGTGTGTGTGTGTGTGTTTTATCTCTCTTTGTGATATCCATGCAACTCTGCAACTGTGTTGTATCAGAGTTTATGCAATGTGTGCATCTAGTCTGTAATATCTCAATGCTCTCATTCACGTCCTAGTTTTTTGAGATAATAGTCGTAGAATCATAGATTTAAGACGAAAGTTGTGTATTGTGGGCTTTGTCTGTATGTAGTGTGAGGGTATCGAGCCTGTGTTGTGTAAATTTTGCCTCTGGGATGAAGAGTGGATTAATGAGGGGTGGATTACAAGCAACTGTTGGCTTTCAGAGCACTCTCCCCAATCCCAGACCCCGGAGGTCTTCCATCCAACGCCCTTTTGGGGGCCTCCCAGGCGCCTCACCTGCGATTCTGGTACCAGGTCTTGACCTGCGTGTCAGTGAGGTTGAGCGAGGCGGCCAGCTCCATACGATCCTGCACGCTCAAGTATTTCTGCCGCTCGAAGCTGCGTTCCAGCTGCGCCAACTGATGGTCCGTAAAGGCAGTGCGAGCTTTACGAGGCTTCTTCAGGCGCACAGGGGGACTGTCCCGGGAGCTGGAGATTTCTCGGTCGCCTTCTTCTTTCACTGGGGAAGACAATCAAGGGGGTCAAGACAACTCTACCAGATATGACAACTAGTTACTCAGCTCCCGCCCCTTTCCTGGAAACCCAGTTTCACTCTGCTTGAATGAAAAACTAGTCCAGGATAAGTAGTCCAAACTTCCCCGTATAGCTGCCTTTGTGCTTCCTAGGCTAATTTCACAAGTTGATTTGTTTGCAAATGTTACGTCAAATGCTTATTTTTCCCCCTGCCTGTAAGAAATCCGCACCCAGTCTGGGTTGGCCCCTTACTTTTCTAGCTAGGCTTATCTGAGTTAGGATTTCCACAACAAAGATAGAAAAAGACAAGGTTGAAGCTTTAGGAAAGAAAAGACAACGAAACCTTGGGAAAAGTTCTTTATAACTTTCTGCTTTCAAAGACCTCTACGTCTGTCTTGTCTTTCTATTGACCTAGGGAGTGTGTGTATGAGTGGAAGGGGTGGGGGGGCGTTTCTCCAGAGCATGGTCTACCCATGTCACTCCAGAGCATGGTTCTGTTCCTCTAGCTCTGGATTGGGGGTGGGAAGTAAATTAAGCAAAAGAGAAGAGTGAGGGGGGAAAAGTCTGAGATAAAACAGATGTGCATGTGAACTCACAGCTCGAGTGTTCTCTTTCCACCCAAGCCTCTGTACCCGCAGGATCGGCTGTGCCTCAGAGGGTCAGGGAAGCGCAACATTCTCCCTCCTTCCCACCCCACCCCTCAAGGGGAAAAGGATCATAAGATCATAGGATCATGTGCATAAAGGGCTGTGTGATGCCGAATTAAAGAATGAATCGGAAAACAGGACCAAAACTTTAAGGACGAATTTCTTATCTTAATTCTATGTAAGACCACATCCTGCTCAGAATTCTGTACCCTACAGCAACAAACGCAGAGGTCTCTGTGTTTGGCAATCACATATTACACCACATGCAAAAAATATGCATTAAAAATAGAATGTACTCTAAGGTTTGAGGTAAGAAAAATAAACACCTATCATATTAAAGTGTAAATTGATGATCATCTACAATATATTTTTTGTTTGGTGCATACAAATGCACATTTTAAGAATGTGTATATAGAGCAATATATCAGAGCTGAAAAGGACCTTGGAGACCATCTAGTCTAACCCCCTCATTCTACAGATGAGGTCCGACATGGATAAGTAATTATTTGTATGATTTAAATATATGTATAGAAATACTTTGGCTACAAATAGGCATTCATGTTATATATATATATATACACATATGTATAAATGTGTGTATATTTAAATGTTATATACAATAAAATATATTGTATAGAAGCATATAACATGTGTATTATGTATGTATATATAATATACCAGAAACAATGAGTGATATTTATAGCATTAGTAAGTATATTAACGTAAAAATGTGGTTTACGGGTACCTATTTTACAATGCCCCACAAACACCTGTCTCTTTCCTCTCTAACCCAAGTGTGCTGGCTATCAGACATTTCATTGCTTTACAAGGATGTTCTACATCCTGAAACTGAATTCTCTCTCTCTCTCTCTCTCTCTCTCTCTCTCTCTCTCTCTCTCTCTGTTTCTCTCTCTCCCTTTGTCTCTTATTCCCTCTCTCCTCGCCTAAAGCGATTAAGTAACCAAAACGGTCCCTTTCCATAAATAGGCGGGGAAGGTAGAGGAACAACATCCCTGTGTTCAGTCCTTTACGGTGAATTTCATTGTGAACTGCTTTAGTGGTGACAGGTCTTGAGTGGAATACGAGTTGATTTCTCTCTGTAGGGAACAATAATCCGGTTAATTGAGCCGCTAGGGAACAAAACTCCTCAACTGGAAAGGCAGTGGCTTTCAGCCCGGGAGAGGACCGGGACTCAGCGCGGAACTGAGGAAAGAGAACGCTGGGGAACGCTAGCTGAGTTCCTGAGTATGAGAGGCTGGGAGCTGGGGAGAGAAACCAGAAAGAACGAGGGCAAGTACTTAAGCTACGTCTACTTGAAAGAAGGGAAATGGAGAGCTGAAGCAATTTTCCGAATACTTTCAGACCCAAACTTAGTATTCCGGAGGAAGCGGGTGGTTCCCACTCGATCCAGATTGGCTGTCGAATCATACGGCTGGCTGCTTCAGTTCTCCTGTGCGGTCCTCAATCAGCGGTTAGGAGAGTATGTGTGTAGTGTTAGGAGGAAAAATCGACTGAAGTTTAAGGTGGCATTTCACAAATCTTCTGGCTTGTCTGGAGACTTGGGAAGCAGGGGAGTTGGCTGAGAAAAGTAACTCAAACTGACGGAAATATTGTCATATTAGTCGCCTTCCCTTTCCCAAGTCATTTTCAAGTAATTCGTACCAAAGCGCAGTAGCCTAACCCGACTTGGAGACGGCCTATTGTTCCGAGACCGCGAGCAGAGGACGCCCCAGATTAGAGGCTCGGTACTTGTCTCTACAACGTGATCCGGTAGAATTTCCCGGCTGCTTCACACAAATATCCATACCCTCGAGATCTATTTCCTCTTCTTTAAAATTGTCCTTAGTTACACAACAAGGGGGACCCATAAGGGAAACCTCGGGAACCTCGTGATTTTTTTTCCCCGCTGCCGGCTACCCTACAGAGGAAATCTCTCTTGACAGCGTAAACGAGTGTTGTCCACTTCACAGGCTGGGGTATACATTTTATAATTTGTGTTTCTGTCAGTCTGCCCTTCGTCTGTCTCCAAAATCAGAAATTCCCTTCACTAGATAGAAACACTTGCAGCCGAGTTGGGGTCACCGTTTGTTCCCTGTTCCTTTGGTGTTCCAGTCCCCAGTATTCTCCATATGGACCTTCACTTACCTTCTGGGATTGACGTCCAGGTACTCCATAAATTTTTAGAATAGGGTGTGCATATATCTATTATACATTTTATACTTGGTATAAGCACAGCTTCATTACCCTTATTAAAGAGAGTGATGATGACATGGCTTTTATAATTTTCAGAATTAATTCTCATCTAAATTCGGCAAGGATGCTAAAGAAAGGAACAGGATGACATAATGCTTCGTATTTTAAGTCTCCCCGCACACACTCACACACATAGAGGACGGGGAGTTTTGTCCTCCTCCTAAAGTCTGGAGTTGGATATAACCATCTACATCAGGCCAGCCCCTTTCTCTAAAGCTAGTGTAACTCGCTCTGAAAACAGTTCTTTGACAAGACCAGAGCTGGGCAGAGGACAAATACGGAAGCTTTTCCCGCTTGTCTCTCACATTCCTTGAGATTCCCTGCCTTACGTAGCTCTTGCCCAATTCACTTTCTTTGCTCCTCCAAAACCCTGCACATCCCAGCCCTGGAGGAACTTCCTGGTGGCTCTTCTTTGGGAAAGGATTTGGGGATAGTGTCGGTTGAGGAGTTTATCTCGATACAGGGTTCTGGACCGGATAGCCTGATTCCTTAAAAAACAAACGATTTCTCCTCTCCCAAAGCCCTGCTCCCAAAGCAAGCCTCTTGTAGAGATTTAGGATAGGAGAACAGATATGTGGACTCCAGAGAAAATAAAGGGAACTTCATAAGGAAATTCCATCCTGAAGAAAGGGATACTGAAATTATTTCTGAAGTGAAATGGGAGCTCCTGGCTGCCCATACTTTCAGCACAGATAGCCAGCGGGAAGTGAACACAGGTCCTTCTCCACAGTAGACTCCTGAGGCTCTTCTTGCCATTTTCCAGGGTCTCGGAGAAAGAAATTAGTGCCTCTTGCTGGAGTCCAAGTAGTTGAACCGTAATCAGGGTGAAGAGGAGAAGCGGGTCATAACTTTCCCTTCTTTCTTTCTCGCTGCCCTTAACCTACCTTTCCTTCCCACTCAGCTCTCCGTGAGGTGAAAAGGAGGAATAAATTAACCAAGACAAGAACGGAAGTTAGGAGACTGACTCAGGAGGGAGCAAGGAAGGTGAGGTAGTTAGACAAGAACCGAAGGACCACCTGTCTCTCCAAGGTCCCTGAATTCAATGTTCAGGTCCATTTACAATTAAATTCAGCAAAAAAAAAAAAAAAAAAGCTAGCGTGTACTCTTAGGATTTCCCTGTCTTCCGGGCCCTCTGGCTCCTACCTCAGTATCAAGGCTCCCCCTAAAAACCCCACCCTTTTGCTGGCTCATTTCTCTGAACTTAGTATTTCTGCTTGACTCCCTCTGTCCCCTAATAGGCAGAGACCTGGCAAGAAGAGAAACTTAATGCCTATTCTTTGATGGAAATCAAAGACTAAAGGCGTAGAAGCCCTGGCCTTACATGGCCTCAGTGGAAATTCTGGTGCGGGCACAGCCTACAGAAATTCGTTTCTAGCTTCAAATGCGGGCATTTAAATTAAACCTGTAGGTCCTGGAACTGTCGCATGGAGGACGGGTTTTTTTGTTCGGTTTTTTTTTTGTTGTTGTTGTTGTTCGTTCATTTGTTTGTTTTGTTTTTGTTTTTTGTTTTTGTTCTGGGAAGGGACCAAAAATCTATCTCAGTGGGTCAAATGTCTCGGGAGGAGTACTCCTGACTGTTTCATAAGTTTGCTTCCTGCCCCGTTAAGAGCTTGATCTGATTCGCTCCCTACTCCCTATTTGCCCTCGTTAAGATTGCCTCCATGGGACAGGCAAACGGCTCCAGAAAGATACCACCCATATGATCAGGTGTCCAAGCTCCTTTTTTAGGGAGATTGGAGAGGGTGCCCAGCTTGAGAATGGTTGTTTACAAGACTTTGTGGCTCCAGTTCCCTTCTCCCCTGTATCTTAACCTCCTCACCTCCAGACTTCTTACCTTTATACTCTGAATCAGAAGAAGAGTTGCTGCCGCCTTTGTCCAGTTTGTCTCTAAACTCCTCTCCAGGCTTGGCCGAGAGGCGCCCCCCCGGCTCCTGGGCTGCGGGCTGCCCGTTGCTGGAGTAGGGTGCGCAGGCTGCCAACGGTTTGCAGTCGGCAAGTATGTCCCTGATCAGGAAGGAGGAGGTCACCGAGCGGGATTGGGACGGAGCTGACAGCTGCCCGGGCTGCAGGTGGGAATCTAAACCCTGGCCAGACCCTCCGCCCGGTCGTGGTGCTCCTGTCTCCAGACAGTCCCTTCTTGGCGAAGCAGGAGATGAGCATCCGCTGCTGCCTTCCGATCGGGGGCTCAGCTCCAGGGGTGAGCGGCAGTCCCCGATCAGGGGGTCCCCCTTGGGAAGGGCGGGGCTGCCTGCTCTGTGCGAGAGGATGGAGTCTATCCCAAATCCATTGGAGCCTTCCATAGCCAAGCCGCTTCCTTTCCTCCCCAGAACCTCCCCACCCACCCACCAACCCCAGCAGCCACCGCCCCTGCCCCTAGCTGAGGGCTGGCATGGGGCAGGCGGGCAGGGAGCTGGCGGGCACCTTGGACCGAGTTCAGCCTTGGGGGAGCTGGGGAGCCCTGGGCCAAACGCCTTTGCGCATTAGATCCACAAGGGCTCAGCGCTTCTGCAGCATCTCGAAGAGCTGCGGTGCCTGAGGGGGGGTGGTGGGAGTGTCGGGGAGGGAGAACGGGGGATAGGGAGGGAGAAAGCGTCAAGTTTTGGGGGACAGAAGGGAAAGTTTCCGGCCTAGGTTTCCCTTTGACAAAGAGAAAAGTGAATAAATAAAATCTAAATAAAATAAAGGTTTGCAAAAGAAAGAAAGAAAATAATAACAATTAAAAAGTAGTACAATTGAAGTCTTCTTCCTGATGAGCAGTTCACAGAAAGCGGCTAGTCAGCACCACGGACAGTAGTATGTCCCAGGCGCCCAGGCTTCCTGCAGGTAAGGCGGGGCACACCTGACGGCTTCAGAACCTTGGACAGCAACAGAGCTCAAGACGCAAGCTGCTCCACCTGGTCCACCGGCTCTTACTTCCTCCGCTTCCGCAGCCTTGGGCGACCTTTTCAGCACCTTGGACAGAGGTTCTGGCAAATCCGGGCCTCTAGACTGCTCTCGAAGTTCCTCCGTGTGCCGTACCGCCTCCCCCCCTTCTTTTAAAAAATGAACTTGAGTCACTTTTTCTTTGGCGTTCGGTTTTTTTGGGTGTAGTTTTTTTTCGTTTTTTTTGTGTGTGTGTGTTTTTTTTTTAAAAGGGGGGACTCGCCCACGTGTCCCCGGAGCGGTGGCGCTGATTGGTTCTGGGTGATTTTGGGGGTGATGTCACGGTTTCGCAAGAAGGAGCCTGATCCCCTTTCAGCTTGATTAAAAGAGACACTGAATTAATTACAGTCCAGACCCAACTGTTTACCGGCGATTTCCACACGGTTTGCTTTCATTAGGCCGCTGATGAAGCTTTTAATGAGGGGTGATTAGCCAAGGGGGGTAAGGGCTGGTGTGTGAGGGAATATGAAGCTGCCGCCGGTGGGCTTGGGTTGTGTTTTTTTTTTTTTTTTCGGGTAAGTTCTCTCCGATCTTTTCCCACAGTTAGCCAAATCACTAGTCCATCGAGCTTTCGTGGGTCCTTTTTTCCCCCCACCTCTTTCTCTCTTCCCTCTCCTAACATAGGAGTAGGAGTCAGTGTTGAGCTGTCGGGGATGAGAACTCCTTTCCCGGTAAGGAGAAAAAAAAAGTTCTTAAAAAGAAAAAAGTTTGCGTTCTTCACCCGCTCCCTATTCAGTCCATAGTTGTTTTTAATCGTCCCTTGTTCTATGCAACATGCCTCCGCCCCTTCTCTCTCTTGGTGCAGTGGTAGACAGGAGACAGGTCTTAACAAAAGCTCAGTTTCTTCTGTTCCGGGTGGCGGCAGGAGGGGGTTCTTCACATCTGGAAGTGGGGTTATGGGGTAAAGGAATCCGGGTGCTGCCGATTTCGGGGCGCCTGAGACGGTCTAGGCTGAAGGAAGGAGAAAAGTTAAGTAGACAAAAGAGGCAGAACCCCACCCCACCCCCAAGCTAAGCCACGCTCCCCAGAGGCGCTCGCGCTTTTGTCCCTCCGAATGCGATAAACCAGAAGAGGAGGTGTCTGCGCAGCTTCGTTATAAGGCCCAGAGCCGTAGCTCAACCGGAGAACGCTCTTCATATGGTGTCATCGTAGGAAACGGGGTCTTTTCTATGTGTCCCAATCTCCTCATCACATACACATTTCTTTTCAGTGGTTGGTTGCGGGGGGGGGGGGGGGGGTGCCCCTTGGAAACAAGAAGTGAGAACTCCCGACCTTTTTTGTCTTCTACCTGAGGGAACGTGACCTGAGCTCGGAGCAGTGTCGAAGGCAGAAGGCTAATTTGTGGCGGCTGGGGACCCAAAATTGTCCCCTAGCCTGATATCTGAGAGACTCTGGAAGTGTCCGAGGTTTGCGGGGAGTCCTGGCTGGGAGGCGCTCACGAGAGAGTTAAGAGTCTCCTAGCTGGTGATGGAAAGAAAAAAAAAGTTCTCAGCGGACTGAGCTTCTCTCTCCGCGCCAGACGAAAATCTGCGCTAATTTACATAGGAGCTGGAAGTCAGACTTTTGGACTGGAGGTTTAGCGCAACCTGGCTGAATAGAAACTTTCCCCACCTCTACTTCTCCTCAAGTCAATTTCGTTCCATAATCTTCAGCTTCTGTCGCCCAGCTCTTTTCCCCAACTCCGTTAGCCCCCCAGCAGATTGGAAGCGGTCACTCCTGTCTGACCGAGGGCTGTGAGTCTAGGGGCGGCTCCTGGACAGGGGTGGAGGAGGAGGCGGCCCGGCTGCAAGCTGTCGGAAGAGGGAGGGGGTGGGTGGGAGAGAAGGACACAGAGTAAGCCGGGGGACCGCTGTGGACTGCTCTCGAACAACGTCAGTCACTGCTGTTCTGAGTGCCCACTGCAGAGCTAACATGAATTTTTGTAGTTGTTTTTGATGAGGAAAGATAAAGTGGAGTCTGGGGAAGCTTGTTCGGCCTATTTGCTCCCAGTTTTCTATTGATCCCAGCCCACATGTCCTACCTAGCGGCATCGGAGTTGCTCCCCTTGTGATGTTAAGATCAGAATTATAAAACTTATTACAAACGAGGGACCTCAGAGCCACCTGTGTTGGCCTGGGTGACACTGTCAGACAAGCTTTTGACAGCTCCCTCTCTTCCCCCCGTTCTTTTCTTCCCCATCCTCTTAGCTATTCTGGGAGTCTCTTCATTCAGCAGGTTGGAATATATGATTTGCCTCCTTTCTTGCCTCACCTTTCCAGCCCTACCTCCAGAGAAAGTCAGAAGGTAAAGAAGGCAAAGAGAATGGAGTTTCGGAGGAGCCCAGCAGCCGGAACATGAGACTCTCAGAGGCGCTATCAGTGAGCTGATATTTTATGTTATGAAAAAAGTGACCTGGAGAGACCTTTGGACACCTTTCCCAGATTTCTGGGTTCTTCTGAACTAAAAAGTCTACCTTATAAATACTGGATTATTACAAATGCCAAATTATTCTTTGTTTGGCAGTAATGTCAGATATAACCTGAAAGTTAATGCAATATAATGTTCTTTCTCTTCCTCCTCTCTCACACTTATATGTCACTCTCTTCAGCAGTCTTCACCTTCAGCAACTCAGCTTCTCTCTTTCCCTCTTTCTGCTCAGCACCAACTGTCCTCTTCTTTTCCTCCCAGTTATATCTGCCACCGGTGAAAGCTGATAGAACTGCCTCTCTAGGAATGGGTGGAAAGGTAGAGTAAAAGAAGTGTCTTTTCTTCTCTGACACCCCTTCAGAGCTAAAGCACCAGTTTCCTAACAATCTCTAGCATATTTCACCCCAAATAGACCTTGTCTTCCCACCAATTAAATTAAATCCGGTTCAACAAGCATTTATTAGATGCCTATTAGGGGCAAAACACTGAGCTAGGCACTAGGAATACAAAAACAAAAATGAAAACAGTGCTTGCCCTCAAGGAAATTATGGTGAAGAAACATGTACACAAGTAAGAAAATAGTAAGTAATTGGAAGAGAGTTTAGGAAAAGTGCTAACAACTAGGGGAATCAGGAAATGCCATTATAAAATTTAAATAACCAAATGTCCGTCATTCCTGTCAGGAGCCTGTCTGGCTAGTAACTATTAAATGTGTTAATGGCCAAAGAATTCTTCCATGCTGGCCAATCTATTAGTGGTGAACCTCTCCTTCCTGGGCTCAGGCTTGGTGGTAGTATTTAAAAAATAAAAAGAAAATAAAATGAGTTAATAGTCTTTATTTTATCCTTCAAATATCCCTCAAACCATATTAAGAATACATAATAATACTATGCTAATCTAAATATAAATAGCACCCCTAAAGTGAGATCCTTTTGAGAGATGTGAGTATATACACTAGTAAATAATTATGCATTACCAAATAAATACAAATGTTCTCTAAGTTTAAAAAAAATTTTAATTCAAATGCTATTTATTTTTATAATTGCTACTTTTGATCTTCATTTTCATTCTCCTTTTCTCAATCTTCCCACAATGCAATTATAGACTATACTCCAGCTTCATACAAAACAGATTGGGAGGACAGGTATGACCTCCCAATTTAGACCAATATAGTAGCTTACTTACAATTTACAAAGCATTTGCCTCACAATCTTGTAGTACATGTTTTTATCATCTTCATTTTAGATATGAGGAAAATGAGGTTCAGGGAGTTGAAGTGAGCGTTGAGTAACAAAGCTAGTAAGCAGCAGAACCAGGACATGAACCCAAGGCCTCTAACTAGAGTTCAAGCTCTCTCCAGCAAAATGGAATTCCAGTAAATTTTCTACTGCTTATAATGAACAGTTTATCTCCAATGCTCCTTGAACACTTAGGTCCCAGCTCTGCCACTGGCAAAGCTGATTCAGAATTAGAGAAACAGAATTCTCAGGTTTTCAGAGATGGAAGGGACTCCAAAGATCATCTAGTATATACCTGAAGAGGAATCCTCAGCACTTATCCTCTTCCTGCTCATAGCACTACAAAGAAGGGAAGTCCTTAACTTTTAGAGACTACTGCTCCATTTCTGGACAGCTTGAATGATTGGGAAGTTTTCCAACTGTGGTTGGATGTACCCTGATTTCCCTGGCCTGCTAAAGAGTCAAGATATGGGTATAGGGACCACTATTTTACTCTCTCTCTCTCTCTCTCTCTCTCTCTCTCTCTCTCTCTCTCTCTCTCTCTCTCTCTCTCTCTCTCTCTCTCTCTCTCTCCCTCTATCCTCTATCTCTGTCTTTGTGTGTTTCTCTCTCTCTCAGTCTCTCCCTATCTCTGTCTATGTCTATCTTTGTCTCTCTCCAACTTAGCTTTGTCCTTAAATTTAGGGCTAAGCCTAGGGATTTTTTTATTCTGCTTTTAGGTCTATATTTACAAG